TAATTTACCTCGGTGTCAATTTCACGTGTAATGCTCATAACGGAACCCGACGAAGATGGTGGCAATGGCGATTTCTGCATAACGAAATCCAATTGACTCGATGCCTCTGATAGAGCACCGCCAATGCCAGCCTCCTTCCATAAAGAGGTTTGCGATGAAGCGCGCATATCTTGCAGATGTTTTCCAAATAAACCGGCACGACGGCTCTGATTGCGATTAAAATCAGAGTAATTGTTTTCAAGTTCGGCACCAGGGCCCTCTGACTTATTGTCCAAGTCGTCGTCGCCGAAGAAAGAAGCCTTCATCAATTGCAGCTTGTGTGAGTCCGTGCCTGCTTCGCGCGCCAAAAAAGCAGTTGGACTAGTTACGCGCGGAATTTGTTGTTGCTGTCCATCATAAAACGAATAATCGTTGCCATTTGCTTGGAGAAATTCTAGTGTTAAAAGAAAGTTAAAAAAAAAAAAGCCTAAATAAATTTAGAAAAAAAAACTACATACGTGTCTTATCCATTAACATGAATTCGGCGGACTCATCCATGGGATAAAAATTTCCGGCACCGGCAGCGAGACTCTTTGGGTCCAGAGCACGTGCAGCATCCTCGGAGATCTGCAAAGCAAAGGAAAATAATATTAAAATGATCTGGTTTTTATCTTATATTTTTTATTAATTCTACTAACTACTCACCTTTTGGGCATTCTTCAATGCCGCCATTGTAATTTTATCAGCTGCAGCGGCGTTAACTGCTGCAACTTGGCCCGCCGCCGGTGCTGTGGCACCTTGCGCACCCGCCGCCGCACCCATCTTTGCTTTTTTCGGGTCGGTTGGCACACCCTCGTCCTCTTCATCGCTATCGTTGAGTCCATATTTCGAGAAATGCTTCACCCGAAACACCCAACTTCCCGTCTCCGGACGATACTCAATGAATCGTGTATCATTCTTATCACAAACTCTGCGCAATTTTGTTTCCCAATCCATGTCGGCCAGACGCACTGGATCCTTAATGGGCTCGTGCTTGGTTTTGTCATGCGGCCAAACTTGATCCAGAGTTACCTGCGCTTCTCGATTCAAACCACTACCAATGGGTGGTTTGTTGTCGTCATCAGGATAAATGATAATTTCCTTGTTTCGGAAGTGTACTGCAACAGAAAGAATAATTTTTTATACATTTTTATTCTAAACTACTAAAAAATCTATGATTTACCTATTTCATCCAGATTTAAGCCAGCCACATCCATTTCCTTTCCAAAATAAACATTACCATAGCCCTCGCGGCCTACTGTGAAATTGGGCACAATACAGGTCCCATCCTCGGCAAGATAAGACTTGAGATCGTCCAGTGAAGGTATCGTATAGTAACTAGAATTGAAAATAAAGCAATCAAAACGGTCTCTTTATTATGTACTCCATCATAGCTTACCCGATGCGCCTTAACGTGATGCCGGTGGGGTGTTCTTCGTACTCTTCTGCCGCTTCTTCAATAACCGAGCGCTCTTCGCCGGGATATGAGCGATTAGAGAATAAGCTTTCGTCATGATGTGCCGAAGCATCGCGTCGTGACGTCTCGCGACTTGTTTGCTCTTCAAACGTATTCTCCAGCACTGTGGAAACAGATGCGCGACCGACCGGTGTGCCCGTTGTACCGGCGCCACTCGTGGTGCGGTAAGTTTCCAAGGGTTTACGAGGCACCAACTCAGAGAGTGTGCTATTCAGTGGCACAACACTTTCAATGCTGCTATTCAAGTTTTGTTGACGCATTCTCTCCACATTATTGGGATGCAGCCAAGATTCTCGACGTCCTATATCACTTTCGCGTCCAATCTGCGCCGCAGTCGCTACTGTAGGGTATGCGGAAGATTTTGATGTTTGCGATATTGGTGGATCCAATGGTATTTGTCCAGAGAATGAATCGTTGCGAAGCGTGGATGTGGCGGGCTGAGCCAGACCGCCCGACTGGCGCTGTCCGCTATTGGTTAGCGAATTTTGCGCAGTCGTTAGCCTATTGGGACTAGTGTTTGCGCTTGAGCTATTGCCGACAATCGTATTTGCCGGTTTGGGTTTTATTATTAGACGTTTCGCATTTGGTTTCAGACTGAAGGTCTCCACACTCGAATCAAATTCCTCAAGACCTTCGAAAAGTGATTTTTTCGTTAACGCACTTGTGATTGGCTTAACGCGCACAACGCTCGGACTGGAGCGCGTAGATACCTTGAACTGGTTCATTGTTGTCTCAAGTATTGCCTTTTGTGCGGCTGGATTTGTGGCACGTGTGGCATCTGTTTCATCGCTTCGTTTCAAGTCTTTAAAAATTGGATTATCGCCGTAAGGGGAGGTGACCTTCGCCAATATTTGTTGATGAATAGGCGGTTGTTGTTGTTGTTGATTACCGCCAAGGCCACCTAGCGACATATTTCCACCACCGAGAGTACTCGAGCCAAACCCACCGCCTAAAGTTGTACCAGCGCCAAAAGCAGCAGCACCGCCACCACCAAAGAGCCCACCAGTTGGGTTTGGGGCACCCTGACCAAGAGTGGAACCAAAAAGTCCGCCTGGTTTGGCGGCAGCATTGCCAAACAATGAAGTGCCAGTGGAGCCGGTGTTAAAATTCAATGGTGCTGTAGATGTTTGCGTGCCAAATGCACCAAATCCAGAAGTTGCAGGTTTATTTAGTGTTGAATTGAATAATCCTCCACTTGTGTTTCCAAGTGAAAAATTTGTAAAACCTGTATTGGCTGTTGATGTTGCGCCAAAAGCAGGTGCAGCGCCGAATCCGGTTGTAGCAGGTTTGGCACCAAACAATCCGGTACCGGCGGTGCTTGTTGCCGCAGTGCCAAATCCACCAAAGCCAGTGGTGCCAGCCGATGATGTCCCTAGGCCAAACGCGGGTTTGTTAGCATCAGCTGCCGGTGCGCCGAAGAGCGAATTTTGTTGCGCAGGAACGGCGGCACCAAATCCACCGAAACCCGTGTTAGTTTGTCCAAATGCGGGCGCTGTAGCTGCTGTCGATGTTTGACCAAACAAACTCGGTTGTGTCTGTCCGAAAGCTGGCTTAGCACCAAACAAATTAGACGAGTCTGTTGTAGCTGCGCCAAAACCACTAGTATTTGGCGCTCCGAAAGGTTTGCCTAGAAAACTATTTTGCTGTGCCGCTGCGCCAAAGGCAGACGTGTTTGTTTGACCGAAGGCACCGCCACCAAATAAGCCTTTGTTATCTGTTGTTGTGGCAGCTTGTTGGCTAAAAAGTCCGGTAGTTGGTTGAGCGGTTGCACCAAAAAGACCAGTACCCGTAGCAGCTGGTTGAGTGGTTGAACCAAAGAAACCAGTAGTTGCTCCGGATGTGCCAGCTTGTGGACCTTTTCGATTTGACATATAATCTTCTAAACGCAATTCTTCCAAAGATTTGCTCTCGTACTCTTTCATGGCAGTAATACAATGCTGCTTGGTGTTCACATTATTTGGTTGGCCAGCTTTCATGAGCGTATCGGTACCAATTGTGGGTTGATATTTTGCTATAGACGAGCCAGCATTAGCTCCCATCATCATAGTTGTGCCACTACCAAACACATTGCTTGTAGTTGGTTGCGTTTGACCAAATGAACCGAAACCAGATGTGCTAGTGGTAGCTGCAGGTTGGCCAAATAATGAAGACGTTGGTTGTGCAGCTGTCTGCCCAAAGCCACCCAGCGTACCGGGTTTAACAGCGGATCCAAAAGCAGATGTGTTTGATTGTCCGAAAACAGAGCTAATATTGGATGCCTGTTGTGGTGCGCCAAACATCGATGGTGCTTGTCCCGTTTGCTGAAATCCTAATTCACAGCACAAAAAATATTAATTCCGTTACTTACATTTTGTTTACAAAACTAACCTCCAAAAGCAGGCTGAGCAGTCGTAGTGCTGCCGAAAGCCGATGTGGTATTTGCAGCACCAAATAATCCAGTCGATTGAGGTTGCGTAGGATTTGCACCAAACAATGAAGGTGTTTGCTGTTGTGTGCCAAAAGTTGGTGCAGCACCAAAAGCTGATGTTGCGGGTTTTCCAAAGGCAGAATGACCAAATGGTGAAGCAGTTGTCGTGCTGCTGAAGCCACCAAAACCAGTGCCCGGCGTAGAGGTACCAAATGTGGGTTTAGTTCCACCAAACATTGTATTTCGTCACTAACTGCGCAATTTACCTAAAATGTAATCAAACAAAGTGCAATTTCTGACTCACAGAGGCAAATTTCACAATGCATGCAACACGCTCTCCTTACGAGGCATGCAACAGTCGAAAACAAAATTTATTAATTCTCAAAAGGATCGTAAATACTTTAAAAGTGTTGCGTTACAATAAGCTTTTAGTTACACTTACTCAAATTATTTAATTTCTTTTACAAAAACGTTTAAATGCAATATACAATAACCGTTTACAAGCAGAAAAATGGCGCTATTACTCGGAGAATTTCTGCAAATTTGACATACCACACTGTGTCTAATAGTTACAAAGTTATCGATAAAATACATGGGATAAATGATTAATCGTATTTGATATGCTATGAGCAAGGCAATTTTAAGGGCAGTCTATTTCCACTTAGTAGAATTTTTAGCATAGAAAATTATGTTCAGCATAATTGAAACAGAGAACTTAGAAGAACGAGGAGGTGCAAATTGAATTTTGTATGACGCTCGATTGGGCGGCTAACAGAGCTTAAAAATTGAGATCAGGGAGAGTCTAAGTTCTCTAATTAAAGAACGTTGATATTGGCAGATCTGATATCCTGAAAGGTTACCAATATTTAGAAGAAGAAACTTTCACAATTTCTTTATCTAACATTATATTAATATAACCTTCGAGTAAATAGTGCACCAGAACTCTTGAAAAAACTTTAAAAAAAGTTCTTTAATATAAATTGTTGATATTGCTATAAACTAAAAGTAGTATAGGTCGTACACTATATTTTTCAATACTTCTTCAATCTAATTATTTATTGCACAATATTATACATGTTTTATAGCGCGCTCTTTCTTACATTCAACATCCGATTACATCAAATATTTGTTTAACCGTTCACACATAGTAAGCAAATGAAAGAATTTGTTGAGCAAAGCAAAAGGCTCAACACATTTATCGAATTCAAGCAAAATGCAACCATTCAGTCCTCCATACCAGAGAACGTATATACGTATATGATATACGTTCTCTGTCCATACTCAAAGGCAAAATTGAAGCAACAGACGGAAAATGTAAGTGAACGAGTGTGGAACAAAATAAAATGATGTGAACAAAACGGCGGCAAATAGTGCAACAATTAAAATTCCTAATTTTTTTATTTATGTTGTGTTAAAGTCGTCATTTAGTGATTATTACGGGTAGTGCCACAGAGCGACTTGAAGAATGTGAGTTAGCTAATTACTAATGGATTCGTACGAACTACGAATGAATATAATTAAGAAAGAAATTCAAGAAGATCGAATAATATACACTGTGCTGTGTAAGCTTTTTGCGCTGTTGGAACAATGTCATGTCGATAAGGCGTGGTGGTGAGGAGCTGATGAGCTATAGCCAACTACCAAATAAATAAAAAAAATTTAATTCATATGAAATCGAAAGAGAGGCGTTAAAAATTGCACAACGTACCGCTTGCTAATTCGCATTGTGGTTAATCGAGTATATAATGTATGTTTAAGTGGTTTAAACGAATTTGTTTCACCCAAATTCCTGTGAATTAAATAAAATATATGTTGAAAATTGGAATACATTGATGATTTGTACAGTGCGTATCAATACTTAAAATTTATATTTAAAATTATACGCTTTGAAGATATTTCTCTATGTAAATACTACAATAGCTCTCACTTCAGTCAAGTAAATTATAACTCATTCAAATATGAACTCGTTAAATTGGAATTTAATTTGATATTCATAATTGCAAGTTTATAGTCAATTTCAAGAAAGCGGCTGATGTTGATAGTGATAGTAAAAGTTGCTGCAATAGTGAAGTGTATAGCAAAACAGGAAAGATAGAACAACAACAAAGTGTCTCAATAAGGTGTCAATTCAAAGTGAAAACAAAACAAGATGACGTCGACTGCAGCGACAACGCCAGTGTGGAAAGAGGCGAATAGTAAACATGCTTTCGGGATTGGTAAGTTTATGCAAGATTATTTGTAGTAATCAATATATACATACATTGTACATAAAAAAAAAATTATATAAAAATAAAAATTATGTTCTGACAAATTAAAAAAAAAAAAGCATAGATGGTAAGCAAAATGGTTTATACCTACCCAATATTTGTACTTATCCATCACATGATTTTATATTTGTAACTTTTTTTACATAAAATCATTACAAAGACGTTATTGATATCCAAACGAAATTTCATGAAATTTAGTAGCGCGCCGTTTATGTATTACCGATTATTCGGTGTATATATTGTGTATATGTTTGAATTATCGACTTAATATTAAATTCGCCTAGCTTTTAAGAAATATACAAAAGTAAACAAGTTTTCATTTCAAATTCTGAACCCGCACGTTACCGCCACACCTAATATTCCTCACTTAAAGGTCTCAAGATAATTTTTCCTTTCAAAGATTTCTTAGTAGGTACCAAGAGACCATTAGTGTTTCTATTTACCTACCACTTTTCCTCTTTCATTATCTTGTTCACCTTTCTTTTGTTGTGTATCATGCGCGCACCCTAGGTCATCCGTTTATTTTTAATGTTTTGTCTGGCGTGTAGAGTTCTTCACAGCTACGACCCAAAGTGCAATTAGATGGCTAAAGGACGGTAGCGGCAATTGACCTCCTGCTGAGCAACTTGTTACATAGCATCATCACCGCGCAAGCACGTACAGTCAAAAGGTGCGCGCATTTTCCACATTTCATTATTGCTGGTCGTCCAAAATTTTGAACACACTCCACATAGGTACGTATATGTAAATGTATGGTATGTGTATGAGATTTGCCATGCTGGGAAATACTGGTCGCTCTTGGAAAAGTGGAGCACGTTTTGTGTTTCAATATTCTCGTACTTGAAAAATTGAAAAATAGGCATACCAGGCGTTGCTGATCGGTATAGTTTGTGGTGGCCGGCCGCTAATGCACACATAAGTATTGCCTATGTGGAGTTTCAGTAGCTCGTCATCGAGTGTAATATGGTTTTTAATTTGCTTCAAATGACTCGCAACATATTATATGCATACATATGTATATGTTTGTACGAGTATATATATCCCATGTACATGTGTGCTTTGTATGTACGTTCATATATATGTATGTATGTAGGTATGCATACAGGTACATCGTCAAACACATTCAACGCTCTCTGCTCTGAAACACAAACTGGCCTGTACTTGAATTAGAAACAAATATCAAGTAACATACGAACTTCGGTATGTTAGAATAGCTGTCGCACCGAGCGTAATAACTGTGGCAGTGACCATGAAACTTGATTTAATTATCTATTTATCTGAGGTTTCAAATAATACAGTTGTCTGTAAGTGCAATTCGCGTTGAATAGCTTCAGTCTGTGGCACTCATGTTCTCTGTGTAATCTTTTGTAATCTGCTAGTTTATCGAAATGTCATAATTTAGCTGATTGAATTCGACTAATTGAATTTCATAGTATCGTCTGTCTGATTGACCTTTGATTGAATAGCATTGAACGGTTTCAAAATATAGTATAATATGTACATATGAACATATGTAATGTATGAATAAGCAATGTTTGTTATTTATTATAGCTAAAAATACAACTTAGAATAGCAAATATTGAATTTTTTAAGTAAGTATTAGTTATTATACAAATGCCTTGAACAATAATCCGTGCCGAATTTCGTGAAGATATCTCATTACATTTAATTTCCATACAAGGACTGGATTTTGATCAATCAGTTTGTAGGAAAACTTAATATACAATGTTCAAGGTATAAATATTATATTTACCCACGAATTACATATATTCTTTTTTGTTTTTGCTATAAAACTTAGACACACACACGGTCTATGTGTATATATATATATTTAAATATATCTATCTAACCCTATAAGTCACTACTTGGGCACTAGCACCACGCAATACCATGAAATTCAAACGACTAAATATTTTAATCTCCACATCTATCTTTGATTGTATGACAGAAAAGTAAATATCGAGTGTTATGTAAACATATGCTTTAAAACGATACTACTGGCCTATATTTACCAATACAATTCATTATATACATACATATATGTATAAGCATACCTTCTTCAGAGAGAATTAATCGAATAGAACTGAAATGTGGCGGTTCCACTTCGACGCTTTCAACGGACAATTCAATATTCCACCAGTGCCTAACGCCTGACGCCCCACAACCAGTCTCCAAGTACGTAAATAAGCGCGTAATGCTGTCATAACAAGCCAATGCAATGAAAAATGAAAATTATAAAACCAAACAACAAAAGATAATTTAACAAAAGTAGAAAATATTTGACTAAAAAGTAACAATTATTCTTGTAGTACGCGTTACTTGAAAGAAAACTTATAATTGGCATGAGACGTTTCTCACCTCAAGCCTCGCCAGCCACAAACTTAGTAGTTACACATATACAATTTTATACACATATATATGTATATGCATATGTTTGTGTGTTTATATACGCTGTTGTTTGTGGCTAATATCTATGGTTGAGCTGTCCGCGCGTAGCTGATATTTATACTACTTATAGCGACACGCTATCTCGGTTATCGTCACGTTATTACTTAGTTTTTTCCCCAGGTTTTTGCTTTTATCTTTTGACTGTTTTTCTTAATGTTTTTCACTATTCATACAGCGGTCTTTACAATTGCGTTTTTTTTTTTAACAATTGCTTTTGTTTTATGTGCATAAACTCAAACATAATATGACTGTATAAAATGTTTTCTTATTCTTTTTTTCATTTCTTATTTCTTGAAATTCTTACTTTACTATTGCTAATTTTTTCGTTTGCAGTGTTTTTTGTTTCAATTATATTCGATAATTATTCATTATTAATAATATATGTACGTTTTATTACGCTTTACTCTGTTGCTTGTCTCAACTCAGGTCGTTTATATGGTGTGTGTGTGTTTGTAGGTGTTTGCAAGTATTCGCACCCACATCACTTTATTCAATCATTTAGTCATATTACTGTTTTATTGTTATTATTTTTTAATTAAATCAATTATTCATATTCCACAACATTCCAAATTCTCGATATGACTTTTGCTTTTCTTTAGTTTTGGTATTGACGAGGGTTAACTTGAGGGAGTATTCTAGTCTAAAGACATAATTTACAGGTAATTTTTGAAGTGTCGTAAAAAAGGAAAATTATACTTTTGATATCCTCTACTTCTATTAGTTATTTATTAACATTACAAGAATACAGAAAAAAAAATTAAGAATAAAAAAGTTGAACATTTCAAACATTAGCAGCTGATGAAGTAGCACGTAATTATAAACATGATTTTGACCTAGCAATTTGGAAAAAAAATAAATTATTAATCTAGAATAAATTTTTGAACAACATTTTCACGAAATATGAACTGCCGGATGTTTCTACCTCCTTTTTTTACTCTTTCGCATTTTTTTTTTATTATAAAAAGTGAAAATTGGAGTTATGTATATATCCATCCATAGACAAGTCTATAAAGAAGAGTCTCTGAAAATATCACGTATATCGGTGCAGTAGAACCTAAAATTTGTTTATATTTATAGACTAGAGTACCTCCATAAGTATTGGTTGATTTGATCATGTTAAGTTCAAAAATATGTACTTTTACTTTTTGACCACCCAGAACATTCTTTGTCTTCGCAGCCATATTTAAGTACAAAAAAGTGATTGCTGCTTACTTTGCAAATGAACGAAATATATTGAAAAAGACAGTAGATTTCCAAGGCATGTTTAAAATATTGGAACAATGGAATAATAAATAATCAAGTTACGCCATCTCTTGGCAAACCGCACAAATATAGTTATAGCCCCAATTAGTAATATTTTAATGTTTTTGCTGTCAAAAAAGGAAAATATATTGTTTGCATTTTCTTATTAAAGTTTTTAATATTTTTTAGTATCAAAAAATTATTTACATTATAATAACGTAAGTATAATATAATATAACTAAATTTTTTTTCAAAAACTTTTTATCTTTTCAACATAATTTTATTAATTTATTCATTTAAATTATTTAATTATTTTTGATTATAATAAATAATCTATTTTCGTTAATACAAATTATTCTTACGCTGAAACCGAAATAAGAAAAAAAATGTAAAACATTATTTTCTCTTTATGTTATATTTAAAATACATATATACTTTAACAAATATTGGAAAATTCTAATAAAAGTGTGGATACTGCTATTTAATTCTATACATTTAACTTAACTTTTTGTTATGAAAATAAAATATATATTTTTTTCGCTCCACCCTAATATTTATGTATTATATGTAATAATAAAAATGTATAATATACGAACTATAAAAATTAAATATTTGAATAAGTCAGTTTTCATTATCCATAAAATTTAAATACAATTTTTATATTATTGTCCGAAAAAGTATAAATTTTAAAAAATTACCGAATTTACACATTTATATGACTTTGTTTACTTAATCAAAAAGCTGAAAATAACTTCAAAAACTTTTCCACCCAAATCCTCATTCCAAAAAATGCATAAAATGTGCCCTTTCGTTTCACTTCTTGCTGCTTGTTTACGCATTTAACACGAACGCTCTATGTGGTCGGGTGAATACCACCTCTCGCTACTTCTTGCCGCCTCATTCCACGTCCCATCGTACAGATATAACGTAAATACTCACATTTATTGGGGCTCAAGAGCATTTCACCAGCAAAGACACCGCAATCAACTTTTCCTTTATATATTTACAATAAATATTTCATTTTGTAATTTATTTCTTGTGTATTCCAAAGTTCTTGGCGTTTTCCCCAACACCAGCTCATCTATAACTGCTGCACATCTGTGCATGTGCAGAAGGGTGTTTAAAAATAAGCTCCCTATACTTTGCCAACGTAGTCGCTTCCTTTAACTTTTAATCTCTTTTTTTGTTTTTGTTATTTCTGCTTTTTCTCTCATTGCCTTTGCTTTGTTGTTGACTTTGCCGCCGCTTGAGTCCACTTG